TTTAAAAGTGTCCCCTATAGAAAATATAGGGTACTGAAGTTTGTCGCCATTTCACTAGTGCACACAAATTTACCCCCCTTAATGACCAGGCCTCTTTTTGCTACTCTGCGCTGTACTTATTCAACTGATAATTGCGTGGTCATGCAATGCTGCACCCAAACGAAATTTACATCCTTTTTTTCACACAAATAGAGCTTTCTTTTGGTGGTACTTGATCACCTGTGTGCTTTTTATTTTTCACGCTATAAACAAAAAGAGGCCGAAAATTTTGAAGAAAACCAAATATTTTTTATTTTCGGCTATAGAAAATCCCAATAAGTGTATATTGATTGCTTTGTGTGAAAGTTATAGTGTCTACAAACTATGGTATAGATACTGCAATTTACGCCATTTTTTTTGCTATACAGCATTGCACTAGTTTAACTGACAATTGCGCAGTCATGCAATATGGTACATAAATTAAATTTATGTCCCTTTTTTCACAAAAATAGAGCTTTCTTTTGGTGGTATTTGATCACCTGTGCGCTTTTTATTTTTGAAGCTATAAACAAAAACAATTGAGAAATTTTTTTTTTTTTTTTTAAAAAACAATATTTTTTCATTTCTTTCATAAAAAAAACTAAAATTCCATTATAAATTTAGGCCAAAATGTATTCTGCTACATGTTTTTGGTTAAAAAAAATCCCAATAAGTGTATATTTATTGCTTTGTGTGAAAGTTCTAGCATCTACAAACTATGGTATAGATAATGGAATGTACACAGCTTTTACTTTTTGACTGCTCATCACATTTCTGGAGGTGCTAAAATACCAGGATAGTACAAACACCCCCAAATGACCCCTTTTCGGAAAGGAGACACCCTAAGCTATCTGCTGAGAGGCATATTGAGTCAGTAGAAGATTTATTTTTTTCCATAAGTTTCTGGAAAATTAAAAAAAAAAAAATTTTCTTTTTTTTTTTTTTTTTTTTCAACACAAAGTTGTCATTTAAATTATTTATTTCTCGCACAAGCCATGGGTATATGTGGAATTACACCCTAAAATACATTCTGCTACTTCTACCAAGTATGGGGATACCACGTGTGAGACTTTTTGGGAACCTAGCCACATACAGGAGCCTGAAATCCAATGACCACTTTGAAAGCCTGAAGGTGCGTAACTTCCTCATTACCTATCACAGTTTCGAAGGCCCTGAAATGTCAGGATAGCACCAAACCCCCCCAAATGACCCCTTTTTGAAAAGTAGACACCCCACCACAAAGAATTTAAAAAGAGGCATAGTGAGTATTTTGCAGATCTCATTTTTTCTCACAAGTTTTTGAAATATAAAAAAAGGAGAGAAAAAAATATGTTTTTGTTATTTTTTCTTCATTTTCCAAAAACTTGTGGCAACAAACGAGATCTGCAAAATACTCACCATGCTTCTTATCAAATTCCTTGGGGTGTCTACTTTCCAAAAAGTGGTTAGGTGCTATCCTGGCATTTCAGCGCCTCCGAAACTGTGATAGGTAGTCTGGAAGTGTAATGAGGAAATAAAGACCTTTAAAAGCCTGAAGATGCTTATTGGATTTTGGGGTCCTGTACTTGGCTAGACTGCCAAAAAGTCTCTCACATGTGGTACCCCCATACTCAGGAGAAGTAGCAGAATGTATTTTGGGGAGTAATTCCACATATACCCATGGCATGTGTGAGCAGTAAATCATTTAAGTGACAATTTTGTGTAAAAAAAAAACTTTTTTTTTGTTTGTCATTTTCCAAATCGTGTGGTAAAAAAAAAATTCTTCTATTGATTCAACATGCCTCTCAGCAAATAGTTTGGGGTGTCTACTTTCCAAAAAGGGGTCGTTTTATGCCCCGCATTAGAAGTTTATGCCACACCTCATTCACTCTTCTAACCACCTGAAGACCAAGCCTTTTCTGACACATTTTGTTTACATGAAAAAAATCTGTATTTTTTGCTAGGAAATTAATTTAAACCCCAAATATTATATATTGTTTTAAAGCAGACACCCTAGTAAATAAAATGGTGGGTGCTGCAATTTAGTATGGCACATAATACTCGCGCAGCGATTTTTCAAATGCAATTTAAAAAAAAAAAAAAAAAAAAAAACACTTTTTTTTACTTTTAATGCACAAAAACACAATATATTGGCCAATTATGTGGTAAAATATAAAAGATGATGGTATGCCGAGTAAATGGATACCAAACATGACATGCTTTTAAACTGTGCATGGCGACAAACTGCATGTTTTTAATATCCATAGGCAACGTTTTAAAAGCCTTTACAAGCTACAATTTTAGATTTACAGAGGAGGTCTAGTGTTAGAATTACTGCCCTTGATTTGCCGTTCGTGGTGATACCTCACATGCATGGTGCAACTGCTGTTTCCATACTGGCACTGGGTCAAGACTCATGAACGCAGGTGCACGCGGGGGGTTGAGGGTACTTTTTTTTTTTTTAAGTTATTTTGATTTTTTTAATTTTTTTTTACACAGTCTTTTTTTTTTATCACTTTTAATGCAAATATCCCCTACAAGTTCAATGGGCATTGTCATATATTATTTTTTCAAAGATCTGGGTTCTATCAGACTCTAGATATCGAATGGTCTGGAAAGGTTTGAATTTTGGTTGGCGGCGATACATTGTTGTGCATATAAAATGCTTTCATCCACAATCAATGCATACAGATCTTCCGTGAAAAACAGCTCCAAAAAATCAAGGGGAGGAGATTTGCTATTTCTACCTGAATTCTGGGTTGGGCAGTGAATGGGGGAAGTATGGGGTGCTGCAGAATTTGTGTGTTGCCAATCAGAAGGATACTAGGAGCTCTATGGGCCTGTGTGCGAATTCTTGGTGGTTGCGGGACAATACTTGTGCTCGCCACTCACTCACCAGCTTTTACTGCACTTAAGGGACTCGCCACGTCACCAAGTCATACTGTAGTGCTGGTATTATTATTATACAGGATTTATATGGCACCAACAGTTTGCTCAGCGCTTTACAATATAACGGGAGACAATACAGTTCAATACAAAAGGGTTAAGAGGGCCTGACCCTTGGAGCTTACAATCTAAGAGGTATGTGAAAGACCAGGATGTACTAGACTGCTGGTGCTCACCAGTTCACCAAAAGGTAGCGTGGCACTAGTACTGGCACTCTGCTGCATATGAGAGTCATCAAAATTTACCGGCAAGTGCTAACAGAGATCAGGTCTGATTCTGCCAACACTGCGGTTTTGTGTGTAATGTATCAAGTGACAGTGACCTACTGACACTGCACTTGCTGGGGGAGAAGGAGGGGTAAGCGTAGGGGCTAAACGCAGGAGCTGGCAGGTGCTGGGGCTGATCCCGCTAACGCTGCATTTTTGGGGATGCTATACTAATGTGAATGCTGGTATAGTGCTGATCTGATCAAAGATATTTATCCGTTCAGACACTATACTAGCAATGGAGGTTTATTGTGTATGAGCGTCTTCCTGGCAATCGAGGGGTTAAATGTGATTATTGGTGTACTGACGGGCAATCTGACGCTATCTGGGAGGGGCATGAAAACCTGTGCCATTCTGTAGCAGTATTTCTGCTATAGGGGAGTCAGGAAGCGGTTACATAAGCGGTTTGTGTTACGGCACTGCATTATTTAACTGACAATTGCGAGGTCATGCAACGCTGCACCAAAATTAAATTTACATATTTTTTTCCCCACAAATTGAGATTTCTTTCAGTGGTATTTGATTGCCTGTGCGTTTTTTAGTTTTTGCGCTATAAAAAATAAAGGCTGACAATTTTGAGAAAAAGAACAAAAAACAATATTTTGGACTGTTTGCTATAAAACATGTCCAGTAAAAAAATCTAAAAATCTAATTTCTTCATAAATTTCGGCCAAAATGTATTCTGCGACATGTATTTGCTAAAAAAAAATCCCAATATGTGTAAATTAATTGGTTTACGTGAAAGTTATAGCGTTTACAAATGGTGGTATAGATACTGGATTTTTAATTTTTTTTAATACTAATAATAGTGGCGATCAGTGACTTTTGGCGGCAATCAGCGACTTATGGCGGGACTGCGGCGGACATTCTGACACTGGGGGGGGGGGGGAATTACTTGGGGTCACTGACATCCCCAGTGACACCAATACAGTGATCAGTGCAAAAAAAAAAAAAAACAATTGACACTGTACTAATGGCACTGGGGAGGAAGGGGTTAACTTCTGGAGATAATGAAAGGGTTAACTGTGTGAGGGGAGTGTTTTACTAGGGGGCGGGGGGTGTGTACTACAGGGAACACCGCTGATCGGGAGAGAGAAACTCTTCTGTTCCGATCAGCGTGTCCTGGAGCTGTCAGGGCGGGGGCCCTCTCTGTTACACACTGTCCTGGAAGGCTGTGACCAGCGATCCCGGAACAGTGAGCTGACAGGGAGGAAAGCTCTAATGAAAACAATGCAGCCTTCCTCTCTGTCAGTGATTGCCGGCAATAGCCGGGCTCCGGCGGGTAATCACCGTTCGGGACCCGGTGATTGACATCCACGGCCGCGATCGGTGCTGCAGTACCCGCAGTACCATACCGGCGGTCACGCACTTCGCGCACCCCTACCCCGGATTGCAGGATCACGTATATACAGGTGAAACTCGAAAAATTTGAATATCGTGCAAAAGTTCATTTATTTCAGTAATACAACTTAAAAGGTGAAACTAATATATGAGATAGACTCATTACATGCAAAGCAAGATAGTTCAAGCCGTGATTTGTTATAATTGTGATGATTATGGCTTACAGCTCATGAAAACCCCAAATCCACAATCTCAGAAAATTAGAATATTACATACAATCAATAAAACAAATATTGTACATAGAACAATAACGGACCTCTGAAAAGTATAAGCATGCATATGTACTCACGCTGACAGCTCGAGAGGAGAGGAGAGCCGGTAATCGGCTTTCCGCGGAGGGGACATGTACACTGATCATCAGGGCACTGATGATCAGTGTGGCCCCAGAAGTGCCACCTGTCACTGTCCATCAGTGCCAGCAGTCAGTGCTCATCAGTGCCACATGCCAGTGCCACATCAATGCCACATATCAGTGCATACCAGTGCACATCAATGCCATATATCAGTGCCCATCTGAGCTGCATTTCAATGTCACCCATCAGTGCCAGTCAGTGCCACCTATCAGTGCCAGTCAGTGCCGCCTATCAGTGCCAGTCAGTGCTGCCTATCAGTGCCAGTCAGTGCCATATATCAGTGTCATGTATCAGTGCTGCCTTTCAGTGCCCATCAGTGATGCCTGTCAATGCCCATCAGTGCAACCTACCAGTGCCTCATCAGTGCCACCTATCAGTGTAGCCTATCAGTGCCCATCACTGCAGCCTCATTAGCGCACATCAGTGAAGGAGAAAAATCACTTATTTACAAAACTGTATAACAAAAACTAAGAAAAAACTTTTTTTTTTTTCAAAATTTTCAGTGGTTTTTGGTTTGTTTAAGAAAAAATAAAAATCCCAGAGGTGATTAAATACCACCGAAAGAAATCTCTGTCTCAAAAAAAGATAAAAATGTTATATGGGTACAGTGTTGCATGACCGCGCAATTGCCATTCAAATTGCGAAAGCGCTGAAAGCTGGAAATTGGCCTGGGCAGGAAGGGGGTATAAGTGCCCTGTAGGCAAGTGGTTAAGATAAATATAATGACTGACAATATGCTCCAAGGTGAAGCAGCATGTTTCAGATGTTAAAGACAAACTAGGAGCGCCAGAAGATAGCAACACTGCTCCAGCCCTGGGCAAGCCAGTGAAAACCCCTGCCAAGCCGGAATATACTACACTTTCAAAAAAACATTTGAAGTGTATATTTATGCTGCACACAGAATAGGATCTGGCTTGTTGAATTAAAGAGGTACTTGTTATTTAAACAAAATAGTTTCATCAGGCATTCATCATACAATCTAGTACATGCCTAGCAACATGCAGCAGTCCAGATGTTGAGAAGCTGCAAATCCCAGCATGCCCCATCAGTACACTGGGACTTGTGATCCCTTAGTATCTGTAAGGTCACCTGACCTCAAAATAGTAGCCTTTCAGTGAAGTCAAGAAAACAAAGTTGTGGGAGAGTGAGATGAAGGAAGAGGAGACAGAGAAAAGATCTAAGGTGATAGGAAGAATGACAGGATGAGAAATATATACATAAAAAGGAGTAAGAAAAAAAAAAATGAAAAAGAAATGAGGTAAGATACAGCAACAGTAGGAGTTTAGCTTTACCGTAAGTGTACGTGAAATGTGCTACTGATAAACTCCACATCTTTTCTGTATAAAGAGAAATTTGCTGGCTTCCACAAGAACCTTGGCAGCTGCAAATGTAATAAACAACATCAGCATAAAAAAACTGCAATGAGCCTGAACATAATCGATAAACAAGGCAAGAATAGAATTGCAATACAAACATCCTAAAGGGTATGCAAACCCTAAAAATAAACTTCTTTTATTTGGTACCACTTGGTCTGGAAAATATACCATTGAAAGTTTTATTAGCAGTTATATTGAATTTATCTCTGAAGACTACAAGCCCCTCACATCTATGTTATGGCAAAAAGAAAAGGAGGAGGTCTAGGCCTGCCCTAAGGTGACAACCATAGACACAGTGGAGTGGATGAGCACTGTCACTCTAAAACAGGCTGGAATAATCAACAGGCAAAAATAATTGGAAAATATTTGTTAAAATTATGTTTAAAGTGAATCTAAACCCAAATGTACTGCAGTTTACCAGTGCTTGGAGGTGGTGGCTGCATTAGTTTTCTTTTTTTTCCTTAGTCTTTCCCCCTGGTAATCCTGCAAAATAACACTTTAAGTTCCTTCGTGTCTATGCTTTTTCATCCACTATCTACAGTGGTATCCATAGTAGTCACAAAACAAACGTTGAATTTCAAACAGACTGACAAGCTTAGAAGTTTACACAAGAAAGATCAGATTCTTTATGTTTTCTTTTCTGCTTACAAGAAGTGACAGGGAAGCTGCATTTTTGGCAAATCATCAGATATCTTCTATACTTTCTGAAAATGTTCTGCATCTGAAAAATGAAATGAATGCAGCCAACACATTTAAGGGCTTGTTAAGCTGCAATATCCTACATATACTGTATGTGTTAAGGTTTAGGTACTCTTCAGACGGTCTAGTTCTGTTTTAGGCCTCATTCACAAGGATGCTGTGGCCTGTTCAGCCATTTGTTTATGCAGTTGGAGCTGCCAGGAGCTTAGCAGAGGCAACCCAAATATTCCTATGGGAAGGTAGCAGCTGTACAGACACAGGCGGTCATCCTAATTTGACAGGCATGCAGAGTTGGGTAAATGCCCTGAATGCAGAAAGTATGCGTTCGGGGCCACTCACTCACCCCTGCACGCCTGTGAAATGGATGAGTGGCTGTGTCTGCATAGCTGCTACATCCCTATAGACTTACATAGGCTGCCTCCACCAAGCTCCAGCCATATAAACAAATGGCCAATCCACAGTGTACAAGCCACAGCGTTTGTGTGAATGAGGCCTGAGCACAAAACTGATTTTTATCAGCAAAGTTATGATTTGCATATAAATTAACCACTTGAGTATTTACCCCCCTTCCTGACCAGGCCATTTTTTGCGTTATTTAACTGACAATTGTGCAGTCATGCAAAGCTGCACCCAAATTAAATTTACATCCTTTTTTTCTCACAAATAGAGCTTTCTTTAGGTGGCATTTGATCGCGTGTTCGTTTTTTTTTTTTTTTGCGCTATAAAAAAAAAAAAAGACCGACAATATTGAGGAAAAAAACAATATTATTGACTTTTTGCTATTAAACATTTCCAGGAAAAAATTATTTTTTAAAAAAATCAAATTTTGTCATAAATTTAGGCCAAAATGTACTTTGCTATACGTCTTTGCTAAAAAAAAAAATCCCAATCATGTAAATTAATTGGTTTACGTGAAAGTTATAGCGTTTACAAATAGCGGTATATATATACAGGCATACCTCGGTTTACAAATTTAATTCATTCTGCAGGACTTTACGCATAGCGAAAAATTTGTTCCCATAGGGATGCATTGAAAACCAATTAATCCATTCCGGAGGTCAGAAAAAAGTAAACGCTACTAAAATACTAAATACCAAAATACTCAAGTCGTGTGGTATTTTAGTAGTGACAACCATGTGTTAATGTTTCAGCTGTCAGCGGGGTTCCCCACTGACAGCTGAATATAAAAGAAAGAATTGCCGGCAACTGAAAAAAAAAAATTAAAAATTGCGTGGGGTCCCCTCCCATCCATACCAAGCCCTTCGGGTCTGGTATGGATTTTAAGGGGAACTCCCACACAAAAATTGAAAAAAAAAAAAAAAATGGTGTGGGGTCCCCCCACAAAATCCATACCAGACCCTTATTCAAGCATGCAGCCCGGCAGGTTCGAAAAAGTGGGGGGTGGGAACAAGCAAACACCCCCCCCCCCCGGGACCATACCAGGCCGCATGCCCCATGGAGGGGGTGCTTTGGGGCTTAACAAGGGGGCCCCCAGATCCCGCACCACCTCCCCCCCCCCCCTCATGGTACCGCTGCTTATTCACAAAAAACAAAAAGGTATAGTGTGAAAAAAGACAGGACATGGTCTTTGACAAGTCCTTTATTAAAAAAAAAAAAAAGGGCTGCTTCCGGGGCCACCCTGGGACATCAGCGGAACGACCCCACCCCAGGTGACATCATTTATGTCACCTGGGGTGGGGTCACATGCATAATGTCCCCGGGTGGCCCCGCCCCTTATATATTTAAGAACTGTGAAACCACCGGAGCAGGCAGACGGCTGGGGGCCATCGTCAGAAGCGGAGCCTTTTTTTAAATTCTTTTTTTGGGTCGGCGGCAGACATGGATGGGAGGGGGGAACCCACGCTGTTTTTTATATGTAATTACAGCTTTTTTTTTTCTTCACTATAGCTCAGAGATTCAGCTGTCACTTTCCCCTCAGCTAACAGAAAGTTTCCTTTTAGTTTGAGTTAAAAAGAAACAAATGTTTCCTTTTAGTTTCTTAACTCCGGGGAAAACAGCTAATTCCGTGTATTATAGTGAAGAAAAAAAAAAGCCGGCAATTGCATTTAAAAATCAGCACCAACATACGCTTCGTATTGCGAAAAAAATTTGTAAAAAATGTGTAAACCAAGGCATTATTTTCAATGGATTTTCATTCGTAAACTGAAAATTACGTTAACCGAGGCATTTGTAAACCGAGGTACACCTGTACTGGGATTTTTTTTTTTTTTTTTAACTAGTAATGGTGGTGATCAGCGACTTATAGCAGGACTGACTTGGTGTCACTGACATCCCCGGTGACACCAATAAAGTGATAAAAAACAAACAAACCAATAAATAAAAAAAGCACTGACACTGTACTAATGGCACTGGGCGGAAGAGGTTAACATGAGGGGCGATCAAAGGGTTGTGTGCTGGGTGTGTTTTACTATGAAGCAGTGTCTGTGTGCTTCACCGTAAGCACACTGCTTTGGATGGCTATGCTGTGCAGTGTGCCCAAGCTGACAGGGAGGAGAACTATTAGTAAACAAAACAGTTCTCCTCCCTGTTGGAGATCCTCGGTAATCACTAGGCGCCTGTGAGAAATCACGGGCCGGCACCCAGTGATTGACAGCCACGGCCACGAATTAGATGTTCGGATCTATTATCTAATGTGACATGGTTTAAACCAAAAAGAACCATTACTGTATGTATATAGCTTTTCATCATACATGGAGTCTTAATCACACAGGTTTTGGTCTGTTTTGGGCCCCTAGAGCAAATTAGTTCCTCCCTAATCTATTTGTCAATTCACATAAGCTCTGATATTTCCAAGACAACAGTCCTTTCAACTGGGTCTTGCTGGGGTAGGGGCAAGAGTACATTTTTTTTTACACTTTTTAATCTGGTGACAGCATCACTCCAAGGGCATTAGACACTTGGGAGCCTTGTTGTGTGCATTATATCACAAATCCTGTGTCTTGGCTCACCTCCTCTCTCAGCTTCTCATGCATTACCGCCAGATGCTCTTCCATACTGGGTTGATTACTCCCGGTAGACTGACTACCCTCAGTTTTGGCACTGAGGGTAAACTCCAAGAGACCTTCATGAGCTGCCGGTGGAGGAAATGCCAGAGCTTGGTAAGGGGTTCTACACAATCCAGGTTCAAAGAGACTTCTGAAACAGTCTAACTGTGCACTGCTAAGATAACCACACTCCCTGCCAAGATGGTAGCAGTCACTGGGCTCGGCACTACGTAAGAACTGGGAAATTGGTCTTGGAGGTAGTTTACTTTGGATAATAATGTCCTTTAGCTGCTGCAGAGCCCTGTTCTGCTCAGAGGTTGAGGAAGACAGTTCGATGCCCAAAGGCCTGGTACACGGTGAAAGAACAATGGCTGTTGGTGGTACTGGTCGTCTAGCAGGAGTGCTGGTACCGGGGAAGGGGCGCAATTCTTGGAACAAGACAGCATCGCGGACCTAAGGCAGAACAGAATGTAAATGACTTGTGACCAAGTGAGAGCAGAGACAGAAAATGTAGGGTGCTATATTGGTGCAAGCAGTACAAATCAAACAGCTGGAATCTTTGCGTTTGAGCCAATAGATATGACAGACAAAAGGAGCTCTGGTGCACTTAGGAGCCCATTTCTGAAGCAGCAGTATGGTCTAGCCATGGCCACATTACAGCTTTTCTTTTAAAACCTTTTAATAGAACATTTATACTGTAGTCAGTGATTATGTGTTGCCTTCAAAGACTTTCAGACTCTGAAATCCTGCCCTAACCAAGAGCACAAAAAAAGGATCACAGAAGGAAGAGGGAAGATATCACATGACAGCACTTTCCTCCATACACAAGTGTTGTCTGCAGGCTGCACACTGCGCTCCGCATTATATAATGAAGACAAATGTACAATGAATGTAACATAGGACTGCCAATGCACAGAAGAGGCATTATATGCCCAGCATACAAGTCAAAAGAAATAATGCAAACAATACAGGAACGGGCACAGACATGCACAGGGTTAGCTGTAATGCACTGTTCTTAATGCATTACAGGACTCCGCACAAGTTTGGAGAAATTCTGTGCAATAAATACTAAAGATGCCATTTTGCTGAAGCCCAGAGCTCAAATCTTTAGGCTGTCAGCAGACCGGTCGCTACAGATGCGGCACAGTGCCTAACAAATGGAGAGTAACTGAGGCTGTGCAGATCAGGGTGAGACAGTGTATTACTGGATTTTAAACAGTATAGGCACTTATTTGAAATGTTTTACATAGCTATACCTGCAAAAGGGGCCAGTATGAAGTGATCGAGCACAATTTAATTTTCTGACTAAAGTTCCACTTTAAATTTGGTTAACCGTTTCAATACCGGGCAATTTTACACCTTCCTGCCCAGGCTCTCTCTCACACTTTGAATGACAATTGCGCGGTCATACAACACTGTACCCAAACTAAAATTTTATCATTTTCTTCACACAACTAGAGCTTTCTTTTGGTGGTATTTAATCACCGCTGGGGTTTTTATTTTTTGCTAAATTAACAAAAAAAAGACCAAAAATTTTGAAAAAAAAAAACACATTTTTCTTTGTTTCTGTTATAAAAGTTTACAAATAAATAATTGTTCTTCATAAATTTAGGCCAAGATGTATTCTGCTACATGTCTTTGGTGAAAATAACCCAAATTAGGATGTATTTTTTGGTTTGTAGGAAAGTTATAGAGTTCACAAACTCTGGTATAGATCTGATTATTGACCAATCCTGAAGTACTGACAGCCAATCTAATATCTTGAGGTCCAAGAATGTCAGAATAGTACAGATATCCCCAAATGACCCCTTTTTGCAGAGTAGACAGTCCGACGTACTTCATAAGAGGCATGGCGAGTTTTTTGAAGTTGTATTTTTTTTGTCATAATTTTTCAGAAAATTAAAAAATTAAAAAAATTATTTTCACTATTTTTTTTTTTACATACTGTCACTAGTGCAGTACAGCGTCATCATATAACTGGCATGGCGGTGAACAGTGACACTGACTGGTGACAGTATGAAAAAATATATATATATATATATATTTTTATTATATTTAATTTTTGATTACATTTTTTTTTTATTTTTTTTAAGATTTCTTTTTCATATTTTACTATGACCAAAGTAGTACAATGTTACCATAGTAACATTGTACTACTTTGGGGAAGTGATCAGTATTTTTTTTTTTTTTTTTTTTTTTACACAATTTGCTTATAGCAAAGAATTACTTTGCTATAAGCAAGTATTTACCTGAATGACATCGATTCATTCAGCTTTTTTTTTTTTTTGTGCTTAGCTGTGAATTGGTCACAGCTAATCACATGACATGTGCATGTGATTAGCTGTGACCATTCACAGCTAGGCACTAGTATACAATGGATGGCATTATGAATGAAGCCATCCATTGTATACAACTGTCATGTGACCTGCTGTGATTGGTCACAGCAGGTCACATGGTACCAGCAACGGGAGTCGGTACTCGGATCTGTCATCGGCCGTGTCCGAGGTGCACGGCCGGTGACAGATCGCACTGCTGCGCCGCTCTGCATTAGCGCAAACTGCGCATGTGCGGGAGCACGCCAAATGGCGTGCACCCGGAGTGCAGAGACACTTTTGAAGCCGCCAAACGGCCATTGGCCAGGCAGCTAATGGTTAAGAGCGGACATAAGCACACTGGAAATGGTCAATCAGATAAATTTAGAAAAGCGCCACACTTTTGACCATATATAAATAAACACCTATAGCCGCAACTCCCAAACCCCAAAAATATTTAGGCATAAAAATATTGAAAAAAATAGGAATGCGCTAAATAATTAAATATAGCAGCAAAAGAAAAGTGTCCATAATTAAATATGTGAAAGTCCAAAAACACCAAAATTATAACAAAAAGTAATCTTGTGAAAATCATAACACCGTGATCAATCCACCACCAAATAAATTGGATAAACTCACCAGAGCTAAATGCTGATCAGGTTATAGACCAGCACAAGTGCTTTTGCTCTGGGAGCGATGAATAAAGCGATATCCAGATTATAGATGCAATGCTCTGCAGTGGTAATCACATTTCCAGGTAACAAGCAGCAATACTCTGCAATAGTGGACATATCTCAATGTGAAAAGAGATTCACAGAAACTCATTATGCAGACACTCAGAAAAATCCAAAAAATTATGCTTTTATTACCAGGATGATTCGCCCTGGTTTACCATCACCTCTTTTCATATACCAACAGAAAAAGTACTCTCAAGAGTATAAATATAGGGATCGCCACTCTGGTTAAAGTGGACAAAGGAAATGACCTTTGATTATAATGTTTTGGATGGTGCAGCCGCCTGCCTTTTTAATTTTTTAAAAACAAGATAGCATTTATTAAAACATTTATATCACTCACAGTGTCAAAAAGCCGTGTGAATCTCTTTTAGACCCCCCTTTTTTGACAACCAGCAATACTCTGCAATAGTGGACAATAGCGTAAAGAGAGAAACTCTGCACAGCCAATCCTCCCAGGACTGAGGTAGGGACCACACTCAGGGACAAAGGAAAAGAAATGATGGTGCAGCACATTTTTAAAACGCATATTACCGCTTACCGCAGATCACAGGGAACGTCCTGACGTCAACATCAAGTAGGCCACACCCTACGCGTTTCGTCACGACGGTTCCACCCCGTGAGGATGTTGTGGTGACGAAACACTTAGAGCGTGGCCTACTTGATGTTGACGTAGGATGTTCCCTGTGACTGTTGGCGGTGATTTGCGGTGAGCGGGGCTCGTCCATTACCAGTGCTGTGTTACGCTGTTTATACTGGTGTCGGTCTAGACACCTTATTTGTGAGTGATATGAAGTTTTATTAAATGCTATCTTGTTTTAAAACGTGCTGCACCATCATTTCTTTTCCTTTGTCCCTGAGTGTGGTCCCTATATTTATGGAGATACGTTGGTATATGAAAAGGCTCATCCTGGGAGGATTGGCTGCAGAGTATTGCTCCTTACATTGAGATATTGTCCACCATTGCAGAGTATTGCTGCTTGTTACCTGGAAATGTGATTACCACTGCAGAGCATTGCATCTATAATCTGGATATCGCTTTATTCACCGCTCCCAGAGCAAAAGCGCTTGTGCTGGTCTATAACCTGATCAGCATTTAGCTCTGGTGAGTTTATCCCATTTATTTGGTGGATTGATCACGGTGTTATGATTTTCACAAGATGACTTTTTGTTATAATTTTGGTGTGTGGACTTTCACATATTTAATTATGGACACTTTTATTTTATTATATTAATTTAGCGCATTCCTATTTTTTCAATACACTGGAAATGGTGACAGATGTCACCAGAGGCATACCTTGAATGTAACTGTTTTTGGACCGATTAACTTTAATTGGTAGGTTTAGTTCCACTTTAAAATGTATTTAGGGCAGAACTAAACCCTCCTATGCTTTTCAGTAAAGGAAGCTGCCATCTTGGCCTCTGTTTGATCCGCAGTTGCATGGTGCTGCACGTGACAAGTTATGACACCAGCCATTTGATGGTTTGACACTTTGGTTGAGATCACAAGCAACTGTGACAGTTAGCAATCCTGGCATGCTGGGAATATAAGTGTTTTTTTTTTTTTTTCTAATTCGTTAATGGCTCATTCACACCATACGAGCATGAAAACTGACTTGCAGAGACATCAGTTTTCATGTGTTTCAGTGAGTTTCATACAGGTTGCAGATTCCTGCGCAGAAAACCGTTTGCACATGATACTAGTGTTGTGGTGTGAACAGGGCACATAGAGAAATGTCGATTTTGTTGTGCCCTTGCAGGATGTGTGCAGAAAAACTGATGTCTCTGCACCAGGGTGTGAACGAGACCTAAATCAATGGGTTTAGTTCCTCTTTAACCTCTTGGCGCTGGCCAAACGCAAATGTGCGGCCTCCTGGCGTCTGGGCCTAGACACCAAGTTGCCGCACATTTGCATTCTATTAAAAAAAAAAATATGTGCTGAGAGCGCGCGCCCTACGTGCTCCCAGCACACGTCCGGTACTCACGCAAAGGTCAAGATCTCCTCTTTCGGACCTTTCCCAATCATGTGACCGCCGTGACAGCGTGTCACGTGACCCTAAACCCCGCCTCCTGAAACCCTTAAAGGGCCGGGAGGAGCCAGTGCCAAGTGGTTAAGCCCCGAGATGCAATATATTACAGCTTACCAGTTCTTCGATGTGGCGGTTGCATGAGGTTTTTTTCTTTTTAGGCTTTTTTTCCACCTGGTGATCCTGCAATTAGCAGACTTCCTGTTTTAGTGTGACAACATCCTCATAGCGTTTTCGTTCATGCCTGCTTCTCCTCCGTGAACTACAGAACACTCTCCTCATCTCCATCACATGAAGGGTTGATGTTCTGTAGTCCACAGAGAAGTCTCTATTCTGAAGCCTAAATGAGAAGTGGCCTAGGGTGACAACGCTGCATCTATGCACTGTACACAAGGCAAGCGTTGTCACTATAGGACAGGAAGTGTGTTATTCCCAGGTGGAAATAAATGAAGAAAATGAAATCGTATGTCAAATGCAACCATTACAAGGACTGGTGAACTGGAATATATTTTGTTCTTTGGTTTAGATGTCTTTCACCTTCCAATCCATACTGGAGCACACCTCTGGGTATGGGAGAGCACACAGGCAGTATGTGGGGGTCTATGAGCCACACATGTACAGTTATAGGCCTCTACATACACACAAAAAGCCCATTTCTGGCTCATTCCCACCAACAGCCCTCTGCTCCATCACTGCTCCCTGTAACACTCACCCGGCTCCCTTCCCGGAGTCTCAGGGACGCCCCCCCGGCTGCCCTCACTCCGCTCTTCCACCTGCCGCCCAGCCCCGGAGCCCCTCGGAGCCTCCTCATACACAGCGCCATCCGCTCCCGTTCACCAGCGCTACGTCACCACACAGGAACCGCCCCCTGAAGCAGAGCACAGGGCGCGGAGGACAACCAGCACCCACTGGGAAGCAAAAACAAACAGCCAATCAATGGAAAAGACACAACTCTCCATGAACCTATCAACTGACCCAGTGCAAACCTGTCAGCCTATCATATGGTGGAGGCGTGAGCGTAATGACCAATAAAATACTCAGCAACCGCTACCATTCCTACTTGTAAAAAGGCTTGACAAATAAAAATGCGGTGGTTTTGTACACTTCCGCGATATGCGTTCCAGGACTAGCGGCATGTCTTCACACGGAGGCTACTCTTTATTGGATTATCAATTAGAGTCCCACCCCACCGTCTTCATTTGATTGGCCAAAAAAGCTAAAGGAGCTCTGATGTGCGGGAGCGCCATATTGAGTGAGGGAACGTGCCTGTGCTCTTCAATGACACTTGTAGGGAAGGTCACAGAGGGAGGAAAATGTAACATTGCTCGGCTCGTGTTGCAGCGTAGTACAAACCCAGCACGGATCAAACTCTTGCTGCCAGAGACATTTCTGCATTCTTACACAGCTTTAAAAAAACATATTAGGCCTGCAGATTAGTAAAACTCCTCAAACGTTATATATGTTGAAAGCAGGGACCCAACATAGTGGCATTTCCAAATGATTATGTTACATATTAATGCAATGATTTGTTAAGCACAAATGTTCAATACAAATACATTTAAGTTGATTTTAGGGAACACAAACATACTATATTGTGGTGTCAGCGACAGTTATAGTATGCCCAAGGACTGGTGTCAATGAATGTAATGACAACCACCAGCATCGGTGTCAGTGATAATAACTCCAAGCACTGGTGTCATTGACAGCAATAATAACTCTTAGCATTAGTGACAGCAATAAAAACCTCCAGCAATGGTGTCAGTGGCTGCAATAATAACCCACAGCAATGGTGTCAGGGACAGTAATAATAATCCCCATCACTAGTGTCAGTTATAGTATTAATGCCCAGCATTGGTCAGTGAAAGTAATAATAGCCACTAGCATTGGTGTTAGTGGCTGCAATAATAACCCCAAGAAATGGTGTCAGTGGCTGCAATAATAACCCCCAGCATTAGTGACAGCAATAAAAACCTCCTGCAATGGTGTCAGTGGCTGCAATAATAACCCGCAGCAATGATATCAGGGACAGTAATAATAATCCCCAGCACTAGTGTCAGTGACAGTAATAACTCTCAACAATGGTGTCAGTGGCTGCAATAATAACCCGCAGCAATGATATCAGGGACAGTAATAATAATCCCCAGCACTAGTGTCAGTGACAGTAATAACTCTCAACAATGGTGTCAAGTGGCTGCAATAATAACCCCCAGCATTGGCGACAGTGACAGCAATAAAAACCTGCAGCAATGGTGTCAGTGGCTGCATTAATAACCTGTAATGGTGTCAGGGACAGTAATAATAATCCCCAGCACTAGTGTCAGTGACAGCATTAACGCCCAGCATTGGTGTCAGTAATAATAACCTTCAGCACTGGTGTCAGTAACAGTAATAATAACCACAAGCATTGGTGTCAGTAGCTGCAATAATAACCCCAAGCAATGGTGTCAGTGGCTGCAATAATAACCCCCAACATTGGTGTCAGTGACAGTAATAACCCTCAAACCTGGTGCAGGGGACAGTAATAATAACCCCCAGAACTGGTGCCAGGGACAGTAATAATAACCCCCAGCATTGTTGTCAGGGACAGTAATAAAAATCCCAGCACTGGTGTAAGTGAGAGTAATAACCCCCAACATTGGTGTCAGTGACAGTAATAATAGCCCCCAGCAATGGTGATAGCGACTGCAATAACAACCCCCAGCACTGGTGTAACAGTAATAATAATCCCCAGCAATGGTGTCAGTGGCTGCAATTACAACCTCCAGCATTGGTGTCAGTGACAAGAATAATAACCCCAGCACTGGTGTCAGTGACTGTAATAACAAGCCCAGCATGGGTGTCAGTGCCTGCAATCATTTACCCAGCAATGGAAAAGGACAAAAGCTAACAGAGATGTGAGGAGTACAGCTAGGAAGGGAGTCATCCACTGGTCATATTTCATTTACTAGTGGTACAGAAGCCAGTGATTGAAGTCAGGTAGTGGAAAATGGTTCACCTCGGGGCCCATAATGTGTCAAATGTCAGCAGTGTCATTCAGTTTTAACACTTTTTGCTGGTCATGGTGCCATGTGATGCATACTGTATCTTCACCTCCTTAGGACAGAGGTTTGGTGGCTTCCAGGACTTCACAATGACCTGCTTTGCATATGTAACAGAAGTGTGAATTGAATCGATAACTGCTCATCTCCAGTGCACCAACATTCGCTGAGCAGAACTTGGTGGTCGGCCACATCTGTCTCTTCACTTAGTGGTAAACTAAGGTCCTATTCCCATTTCTCCATAAGGTGGTCTGTGGGATTTTTATTTAACCTCCCATTAGTGGTCAGTAACAGTATTATGTAACACCCCCTCCCCTAACCATTGGTGGTCAGTGAATGTGTTTGTAACAATCCCTCCTATGCATTGGTGATCAGAGGCTGTAAAAGTTAACCCCCAACCTTGGGAGTCAGAGGTTACCTACCCGATCCCATGCCCCCACACTGCTCTGCTCTCTTTTGTTCCCCCATCCACCCAGGGCTATACTTGTACTGAAGGGGAGAGACAGCACTGCCTGAGAGAACCAGCTTTGTTTCAATGCTGGGTGATGGAAAGCTGAGAGCATTCCAGAACCAAACACCACTAGTGCTCAGCATTTGATGGTCCCAGCTCCAGGAAAAGGCAAGCCAGAGTGTGTTGGGACACAAGGTCCTAGGTATACCAGACCAAATGTAGCAACTTCAGCTAACATGTAACAATTCTAATGATCATTTTCCAGCCTAAATACTTTGGTTGCTACTTTGAAACGACATATATGACCTTTATTCTGTACATGGTTTTAATAAATTATCTGATTATGTGGTTTATTATAATTTTACAAATGGACTATAATGTTTTCAAAACATAAATTTGCAGTTTATTTTATAAAACCTTATTTTACTTTTTTACTGTCTGAATTTCACTACATAGTGCTCTCCATTACTTAAAGCGGAGCTCCACCCAAAAGGGGATGTTCGCTTTACGGTATCCTCCCCTGCTCCTGGTAAGAAATTGACTATTGGGGGGAGCGGGTACCAGATTATGACATGTGCCCACTCCGACACCCCTAGGTGATCAGAAGCGGAAGTCTTTTGGGATACGTGACAGGTCCCGGAAGACTGCGGGACCCTTCACAATGCGCACTGTGGTTCACGCATGCGCAGTGGGCACCCAACTATGAAGGCACAAGCGGTCACAGCCAGGTGCCCACTGGTGTTAAGATGCCAGCACCGAGGACTGAACGCGGTCCCCGGAACCCCCTCGGGTCAGCACATCGCTGGATCCTGATACAGCTAAGTGTCGGATTACTAAAAGTCAGCAGCTACAGTTTTTGTAGCTGCTGACTTTTAATTTCTTCAGAAAACTGACTGGAGCTCCGCTTTAAAAATTTTTTAATAAAAAAACAAAGCACTCACAAAAGGAAGTAGTGCATCCTAATCATACACCAGATTTCAAAATCATACACTAGACATGTAACGCATGAAGTAACATGTAAGGCAGAGTTTGACAGTGCACACTAGGGCACTGAGAGTGGTGGCACTGAACAGTGGAGGTTAAACCCACACTAGTGCATGTTTTTCACTATGTGAGTGTTTTATATTGAATTGTTTGGAAAAAGTAATGGAGAGCACTATGTAGTGTTTTCGTTTCCTCTTACATACAAAGCATTGTGAAAAGAAAAGGCAGATAGGAAGGAAGTATGAAGTTAATCAGGGTGGTCATTAATCTGTGAAAGCCGTTTCCAGCTGAAAGTAAGATGGCGGAATCAGACCTTCTATAATTTTGAAGCTTAACTCCAGATTTCTTGTGCCTTTAAATAAAATTATTTGCTTGGTCCAAACAAATTATTTAAAGTAAAAAGAAACCTAGAGTTAGGCTTTAAGGTCCATCACACAAGGTGGGAGTGTCCACTAGGAGTGATTGTGGCTGTATTGAATATCGTCATCACATTATTTCACTTCTGAATTAGGAATATTGTGAATTACATTTTTGCATAATATTGATGGATTTGGGGACTTTTTTTTACAGTCATTGTATGATATGAGAACTGTGCACTTTTGAATATGATTTGATGTTCACATGACATTTGGTATATTGTTTATTTGAGATCTATTATATTTATTATTGTAGAGCAGTGTTTCTCAACCTTTTTTCAGTCAAGGCACCCTTAAAAATTATGGGCAGTCCCGAGGCACCCTTTAAAATTATGAACAGTCTTGAGGAACCGCATTCTAAAATAGGGTGCCTCAAGACTGTCCATAATTTTAAAAGAGCACCCCATTCTAAAATGTGAAAAGTTTTATATAGCGCAGCAACATCCACACATGTAGGACATTGGAGGAGAGTTATTCTTCCAAAGCAAATACACTTTTGCACATTGGTACTGAGTAGTATTTCAATGTTTCTCTTCTCCCTCAATTTTTCTCCATCCCTGATGTGACCCCAGTACTGATGGAGAGGGGCAGGGGATGGTCAAACAAGGATGCTGCGCAGGCAGCTGACATCCTCCTTATCAACTGATGATGTCATTGGTTGTCAGGACGCCGGCAGCTAGAAGGTCATAATGGTGCACAATAAAAACCTGTGGCTTTGTGTAACCAAAAGGCAGGCTTGTTCCATCCGCTGGCTTGTATACATGTTTTGAGCAATTTTTAGACATTTTTCCAAGGTACCCACCCCTGAAGAAACTTCAAGGCACCCTGGTTGAGAAAGGCTGTTGTAGAGCAACACGTTAGTATAAAAAAACAAACAAAAAAAAAAAACCAAATGATTGATAGATAAATATTTATTCTGTAATAAAAAAAATGA